TATATATATATATATATATATATAGACATATTTTCCGCACAACATCCAGCGAACGGCTCTTTACGACCAATTATATATTCATTTATTTAGATCTACTTTATATATATTTAGATTTAATTTTGATCTAATTAGATCTATTTTTCCATTTTTTTATTTCGTAAAATTTGAGTTAGACCTAATCCATTTTTTCCCGGGTATGTTATTTTAACGAGAAGCAATTTTGATAATAATCCCAAACAACTATCTATATTTTGACGACCTCTCATACAAGCAGTATATATATCAATAAGCCTGTTTTTCTGAAAGATATAGTTTGTCAACTACAGCAATGTCGTACTACTACGCTACTTACGCATAGTTTCAGATATTTATCTATCAATCGTCTTACGTAAATAAAAAAACTTACAATCGGAGATTCTTCAAGTCGTTTTTGTCTAGATTTTTCAATATACAAAGAAGAACTTCATCTGGAAAGTCAAGAATATTTTTTGTTGTTTGTTGTTCGTTTGTCCTTTTGTCTTGTATCGGCACATCGTGGTCGTGCTGTTTTGTTTTATCATCTTCTACTTCAAGTTCTATTTTACTGTGGGATCCGTTTTTAGATTTGTCTTTGAAAGAAGTCGAAAATTTGTCCTGATTCATTTTTTTTTATTTTTTGTACTCTTATATGAAAAACAATTAATACTGAGAAAAAGAAAAGAAGACAACTTTACATCTAAAAATTCGAATATCATTTTGTTTGTGATATGCTTACGTTTAGTAGTACTAACGGCGATTGTGAAGAACTTGAAGTTTCGATATGTTATCGAAAGATGTAACACACGTGTATCTTATTTGTCTTATAGCTGAACACAATGCCGTAAGTCCGACATATAAACTTTCTTTTTGAATTGTAACTGTTATTTCCACAACTTCTTATTTCCGCCTGTACTATTTTACTTGTCGGTGTTTTGGCCGCGTTCAGCAGAACTCATCGCTTAGTAAGCGCTTTACGCTTAAGAGGGTACTGGATACCGACTATAGAGACCTGTAAATCGATGTTTTAATATTTCGTTTTGTGTCGTATTTACTGCATCAAATCAAAATGCTTCTACAGAAATAAGTAACTTGTGCTAAGAGTTTGCTGTTGTTCTTTAAAATGTCAAAATTCAGCATAAATATTTTCTTATATAGTTTCCTTCTATAACCTTATCATATCATCATGTATATAAAATTATTTCTAAGCTTATGTATGTATTTACACTGAACTACAGCAATACGTACGACACAAAACAATCTAATGAAACACTCAGAATATGATTTGGTTGTCTAATTGATGCAAAAAGTAATATTGTGATGATGTGTATTTGCTACCATATACTATCATTATGAATAAAAAACAAGTTCAAAAAAGCATTATATACCCAGTTTCAAAAGCTTTATATAGTTTTGTATATTTATTTGCTTCTGTAGAAGCGCTTTTAATGTTGTGCAGTAAATAAAATTAAAAACTAAAAAATTTAGGTTATAAAAACGTCGGTTTACAGGTCTCTATAGTCGGTATCCAGTACCGCCTTAAATCATTTTATATTATTGTGTATAAGAAGTTCACAGACGTATATTCGTATTTAATACAATGCATACGTTACATTATTATTAATATTATCATATACAATAATGTAGAGACTTAAAACCATATGTGAACTGTTTGGCTGTATCTTGTTTAAAAAATAATACTAACGAAAATTAAAAAGTTTAAAAAATGATAATAATGATGCATTTTTTCTACTGAATGCCGTCGGTAAAAAAATTAGAATGAAAAAACAAAAGTAGTCTTTTTTTTAAAAAATCACTGAGTATTATAGCGTATAAATTTGTAATCGTATTAATCGTTAAACCTCACTGTCCAAACGCGTACTCACTCACATATGTCGCGCGATTACACACGTAAATACATTAACAGATATACATTAAATCAAACGTTTAAAGAAAAACAGTCGTAAATACTATGTCGTAAAAATAAAGCTGTGTTGCTTTTACTGTGCAGTCCATGATGTTTGAATCATTCTTTAGTTTTACACAAAAATTTCACAACCAATATATATACATACTACCATGATCAAAAAATAACCGGAATTTATTCATAAAAAGAAAAGTACATGTTTATTCTTCAAAATTCAAGTTGTCTTTTTCAAAGTAGTCCC